AGTTAAAACCCTAACCCTAAACCCTAAACTCTAGCCCTAAAGCCCTAAACCCCTAAACTCTAAACCCTAAACCCCTAAATCCTAAACCCCTAAACCCTAAACCCCTTTTATGGCTCACAGCTTTACGTTTGAGGCTTTCGGGGATGATGGAGCCTCCGGGTTCCGGGCATTAGGGCTTCAGGGTTGTCCCCAGAGAACCCAATACCCCTNNATATACCTTAAATTATAGAGGCCTTACTATTATAATTTAAGGTATATTCCTTAATTAAGGGGTATTGGGTTCTCTGGGTCTGCCTGGGGGACATGGGGCTTCAGGGTTGTCTGTTCAGGGATACTAAGGGTTTAAGGGTTTAGGGTTTAGGGCTTAGGGTTGTTCAGGGATATTAAGGGTTTGAGGGCTTAGGGGTTTGAGGGTAGAGGCTTTAGGGCGTCCTGGTATTTTGTTTGCTGGGTTAGAGCACATGCTAAGCAACTTCTTCCTGTAACGCTTCAGATACAGTTCGTGCTGCTGCTGTCCTTGCTCTGAAAGCAGACTGACAACCAGGTTTTTGCTCATTGTGCTTGCTCTTTTGGTCAACCACGACGGCTGCCGCTGCCTCGGTTACCTTGTCGGGTAAGTTCTCGATACTTTGTCGTGAGCATTCTGCTGGTCACTATTATCGAAGACCCCGGAGCTAAAACGCATCTTCGAAACATATTCCCCTCCAGGCCATTATACCCATACTATACCCGCCACATGATACACCTAGAATACGACCTTCTGTAATATCGGTATGCCCAAAAGCCTGTCTCGTGACTCAGAACAAGAAGCTTGGCAAGCTCCGATCATTGCCTTTGCCATCTCGCTCAGCTGGATCTTAATCCTGCCCAGCTAAGAGCACTAGACCGGTCCTAAAATCATTAGCAGTACTAGTCCCATACAGTCCGTCTATGCTGCTGTTCACCCCAATAAACCTGTATGTTACAGCTGTAGTATGCCTACATTCTACCTGTATTATACTTACAACATACCCAATATATAGATAGATAGATAGATAGATAGATAGATAGATAGATATCGGTAAGCTTGCCAGGGTTGGTTTCTCCAGGTGTAAACTTGCGGTCTTAAGCCAAAAGCTTCAGCTTTAGTAAGGCTGGCAGCGCCCCTGTACTAAACCCCATACCCCAAACCCTTCACCGGTAAACCCTGTAGGCTTTGTTGGGGGGCCTTGGGGGACGTGTTCATGGTTTGGTTGTTTGCTCCCGATGTCGAATGCCCAGCCAAGCTCGGGTTTGGGGTTCTAAGGTTTTGGGGTTTTGGGGTTTTGGGCTTTGGGTTTTGGGCTTAGGGTTTAGGGGTTTGGTTTTAGGGTTTGGAGTTTAGGGTTCTGTTTCGCTTTGGAAGAGCTAAACCCTAAATCCAAAGTCCCATCGTTTCATGGCGCCCTCCTTGCACAAGCTTTCAACGAGTCGTGGACCTTAAAAAGTCCAAACTCCACTCACCTTCGAAGGTAAAAGGAAAATCCGTGCGTGGAGATCCTTGCAAGCACGAACAAAAGCCTCACAGCAATTAAATGAGTAAGCCCTTCGATAAGCCTGAAACCCTAACCCTTAAACACCCTAAACCCTTAAACCCTAAACCCTAAACCCCAAACCCTGATTCCCAAACCCTTCAGGCAACTTCGAGTGCGGTAGCCTCAAGGGGCCGCAGGTGATCAAGCCTTGGGCATTCACGCAACAGACCCTAAACCCTAAACCCTAATCTCAAAACCCTAAACCCCAAACCATAACCCAAAAGTCGAAGCCCATAACCCCAAACCCTAAAACCTAAAACCATAACCCACAACTCGAAATCCAAAACCCTGCAACCTAATCCCGAAAACCCACAGGCTTTCTTACGGAAAGGATGGTCCGAATTCGTTGAGCCAAACCCGGGAATACTGGGGAGATGAGCTGAGAACCACGGAGCTTGCAGAACTTTCTTGGGATTTTCGGTTACTTTGATTGTAAGGTACATAAATCCTTGAAGGAAAGCCTGGAACACACTATATGCCCCGAGAAATGCCCTGCTAAACTCTAAGAATCAAAGTCCTAAGCTGCCAAACCTACTGAACTCGCACCCGAACCCCAAAGCCCAAAAGGATGAACGCCTAAAGCATACATAACAATTAGCGGGTTCTTGTTGACTGCGAAGCTTTGTCCGAGTTGGGACCACAAAAAAAAACATGGAAACCCTTATACTGTAGGGGCCTTAATAATTAGAATAGAGTTTTGGGGGCCCATTATACTACACCTATCATAAGGAAGCCCCCAAAAGAGTATAAATATCTAGAGAGTGTAACGCGCTGCAGGCCC